AAAACCCCCTGTGCCCCTTCCCCTGCCCTCCACAAACCTCCTGCCGGCGCTTCCCCAGTGACAAAACCGCGTTTTTCCCACATGAGAAAAGACGGATCGGCGCTAACGCAGCTGAAACTCTGATTTTCCATCTATTTTCCATCCCCATCCGCCAGAGGATTTTATCCCGGCTGGAAACACGAGAAGAGCGAGTTCAATCTCCTTTACACCTGGCTCCCGGTCCACCACCCTCTGCTCTCCTGCTCCAGGACTACCCCAGGAGGGATTTGGGCTACCAAACATCTCCATCATCCTGTGCTGGAAGTGCCCCCAAATTTTGGAATCCTGGATGATGAGAATTTGAAACTTTCTGTGCTGAAAGGCACAGACCCACAGGAGAACTCTGCATTGACCTGAGGTCACAGAACAGGTTTTTAAAAAATTGATTAATAGCATTGGGATTAGGGGTGTGGAGCTGGTTAGAAGTGTGTCACATCAGAGTGGAAAACTTAGTTTGGGATTTTAGAATATAGAGATAAATATGAAGCAAGATGGAGGTTTTAGGGGGGAGGCTGGGTGTTCTTCTTCACTTTTGTCTTCTTCTTCTTTTTCCTTCTTCTTCGCCTTCTTTTTCCTTCTTCACCTTCTTCTTCCTTCTTCAAGTTGTTCTTTTTCCTTCTTCTTCACCTTCTTCTTCACCTTCTTCTTTACCTTCTTCCTTCTTCACCTTCTTCTTCCTTCTTCACCTTCTTCTTCACCTTCTTTTTCCTTCTTCTTCACCTTCTTCTTCCTTCTTCAAGTTGTTCTTTTTCCTTCTTCTTCACTTTCTTCTTCACCTTCTTTTTCTTTCTTTACTTTCTCCTTCTTCACCTTCTTCTTCCTCCTTCTTCACGGGTTTGGGTGATTTGTGACTGGACAGAAAAATCCACATTGCGGGCTTGGGGGATCAGTTATTGGGTTAAAGGGGAAAATAATCAAGGAGTCCTTTCTTAATTGGATAGTTTAGTTTTAGAAGACCCTGTAACAAGAGTTAATGAGCCATTTTGTGCCCTGCTGATGAAAAAGCTGCCGAGCTCATGGTTGTGAGGCTGTGACACGGATAAGGAATAATAACCACCTGAGTCTGAGCATGGAATTCCCTCTCAATCCCGACCTCGATGACCATGGTGCCACCCGGGGGGCACCGAGATGCCACCACTGGGCACCCCCGAGCCACAAAGGGAGGGGAAATCCCACATGGGAATCCCTGGGGAGAAGGGGAAGAGTCCCAGGGAGAGCTGGGGCTGCTCCTTCCCTTGGATTCGCAGTGCCCTGGAATGGGGACAGCCCCCCCAGCAAATAACTCGAGACACACCAATAATAACAAACGAGGACTTGGACTGGGTTATATTTTAAAATGCTCATATATTTTCTTTTTTTTTTCTCCTTTTTTCTTTTTCTCTTTTTTTTTTTTTTCTCATTTTTTTTCCTTCTCATTTTTTCCCACAATTCTAATACAATTTTTCTCAAAATACTGGCGTTTCCAGCAGCAGTTCTTTCTTTTTTTTTTTTTTTAATTTTCTTTTTTTTTTAACCTTTTTTTGTTGTTTTTGAAGTGAATAATAATATACGGTAGTGATTTCACAGTAAAACAGACCTGCGGGAACGCCAGAGATACGTGACAAAAGACACCCCCAGACCAGCCCTCCCCCTCCCTCCCACCCCCCTCCCATCCCCAAAAAGATTTTGGAAGTGGGGGGGAAAAAAAAAAATAAAAAGTTCATTCAAAAAAATTATTTCAAAAAAGATTTCATATAAAGCCTTTAAAACACGGTCAGAAGTTTCTCCCTCTTCTCCAGATCCCTGTGGCTGAACACTTACAGAGAGAAAGAGAGAAAAAATAGAGAGAGTTTATAACAATCTCTGTAGAAGAAACAAAACAATCCAGGAAAGAAAATATCCAAGGATACGGTAAGGGATAAAATTACATTTGTACAAAAATAGATTTTTAACTTTATTGACGCTTTAGATATTTTTTTTTCCTTATCTTTTATCTTTTTTTTTTTTGTCATTCTAAATTTTAATGTCTTTTTTTTTTTATTCTATGTATCCCATAGCCAAGGCATCCATCACTAAGTATTGGGAATTGCTAAAGCTATTCTTTACTCCAAACCACCTGCTTAAAAGAAAGAAAAACGAAAGAAAAGAAGAAAAACAAAAGAAAAGAAGAAAAGGAAACAAAAAGAAGAAAAAGAAAACAAAAAGAAGAAAAACAAAACAAAAAGGCATCTTAAAATAGATGCAGTTCCTTTGTCTCGAGGAATAAAAATCCAGATTTGGCATCTGCCAATTCGGAAAGGGATTCAGATACAATGGGAGCAAAAATAAAAAGCGAGGAGAGGGGAAAAAAAAAAACCAAACAAAACCAAAAAACAAAAAACCAGGAAAAATAAGCGACTTAAAGCACAAAAAGCCAGGAAAAGTCTGCAATTGCTACAGTTCTCTAAGTGTATACGTGAGTGGGGTATTTATTATACAGTGTCGATATCTACAGTACACACACGGACACACAGACACCCCGAGCAGCCCCTGTGGGGTCAGCACAGCCCCAGCCCTCACAGCTCCCAACCCTCTGTGGGGTCAGCACAGCCCCAGCCCTCACAGCTCCAACCCTCTGTGGGGCCAGCACAGCCCCCAACCCTCTGTGGGGTCAGCACAGCTCCCCATCCTGATTTTGGGGCCAGCAGCCCATCCTGATTTTGGGATCAACAGCCCATCTTGTTTTTGGGATCAGCAGCCTATCCTGCTTTTGGGACCATCAACCCGGTCTGTTTTTGGGACCATCAACCCCATCCTGCTTTTGGGACCAGCAGCCATCCTGCTTTTGGGGTCAGCAGCCCATCCTGCTTTTGGGGCCAACCAGCCTGCTTTTGGGATCATCAGCCTATCCTGCTTTTGGGACCATCAACCCAGCCTGCTTTTGGGATCAGCCTGTTTTTGGGGTCATCAGCCCATCCTGCTTTTGGGATCAGCCTGTTGTTGGGGTCATCAGCCCATCCTGTTTTTGGGGTCAGCAGCCCAGGGCTCAGCAGGGCTCAGCCTTTCCCACACCCCCTGCCCCAAAGGGCCCCAGGGGCGCTCCTGGATGGTTCCAGTGCCAAGGGAAGCTGGGCAGGGCATGGAGGATTTGGGGTGGGGGGAACGTGCAGCAGCTGGCTGAGAGGCTGATGTTTGGGCTATCCTTAAAAATTAAAGATTGTCCCACCAACAAGGAGTTAAAATAAGCATTACAAACAAAGCAGATTTTTGCAGGAGTACTGAGAGCTGGTGAAGTCCACATCCCAACCTCTCCAGGGAACCCTGTGCCTTTTGTTTTCCCTCAGTGCTCACCTCTCCACACTCAGCTTATCATGATGAGGACAACAACAACAACAAATAAAAGCCCGAAGTGGAAAGAACACAAAGGAAAGACTCAGACTCATGCAAAGCTGTTGCTTTAAGGCTGTTCCCAACACACAAAAGCTTCTCCTTCCCACCAAAGGGCTGGGGGGAGGATGGAGGGGCTGGGCCAGGCTTTGGGGGCTCAGGGAATCCCAACTCCCTTTCACCAGCTGAGAAGTGAAATCCCCAAAAATCCCCAAAATCCTCTCCCCCACGAGCATGGATTGAGGCTGTGCTGCTCCAGGAGGGAAACTGAGGCACGGGGATGATCCTGAGCTGGAACTTGGGGCCTGCAAAGCCTCCCCCTTGGCTTTGTAAGGTCAGATGGGAATGGGGATGGGAATGGGAATGGGGATGGGATGGGATGGGATGGGATGGGATGGGATGGGATGGGATGGGATGGGATGGGATGGGATGGGATGGGATGGGATGGGATGGGATGGGATGGGATGGGATGGGATGGGATGGGATGGGATGGGATGGGATGGGATGGGATGGGATGGGACGGGACGGGACGGGATGGGGAGGTCTGGGATGAGATGAGGAGGTTTGGATGGGATAAGGAGATTGGGATGGGATGGGGAGGAGTTTTGGATAGAAATGGGATGAGAAGGCTTGGGATGGGATGAGGAGGTTTGGGATGAGATGAGGAGATTTGGATGGAATGGGATGAGAAGATTTGGGATGGGATAGGATGGGATGAGGAGGTTTGGTATGAGATTAGGAGACTGGCATGGGATGGGATGGGATGGGATGAAGGCTGGATGATGGGAGATGGGATGGATGAAATGGGACACAGTGGGATGGGGACAGATGGGAAGAAAGGGGATGGAAGATGACGGAACGCGACAGAATGGAAAGGGATGGGATGAAATAGGATGGGACAGGACAGGATGGGGTGAGATGAGAAGGTTTGGGATGGGATGGGACAGGATCTCCCACTGTGCCATCCTGTAGCCACCACAGCACCCAAGAGCCCCTCCCCAGCCCTCCCCCAGGAAAAAAGCAGCTCCACCCACCAGAGACCAGCAGCTTTATCCCAGTGCAGCATCCACCAACCTCCCCAAAGCCTTTCCTCCTTTCTGCTGGGGTCTGGGGGCTGCCCAGGGGTGGGTGGGCTCGGGGCTCTGCCACCTCCCTGCCCCCCCCGGGGCTGTGCCAGCCTCCCGCTGGCAGGGAACAGCCTGCTCGTGTTTCCTGGCACCCTCGCCAGATTTCATTCCTCCTGCCTCGTTTTCTTGGCAAATTCTCGCAGGGTGAAGCTGTTTAATAATATTTTCAGTGGCTTGCAGGCTGCTGGGGAAACAGAGCCAAGGCGCTCTGCCTGCCTCTGCCGATTTGCCACTTCGGGCCAGCCCCAGGGGGAGCTGCCACCTGAAATCCTGAGTGGGTTGTGAATTTTGGAGCTGCAGGGGATGGAGCTGGGCACTGCAGCTGCCAGCTGGGATGACAACAGGCAGGGGACAACGGTGTCCCCTCCAAAACAGAGGTGGGAGTGAGGTGGTGGGTGCTGCTCCATCCCCCTCCAGGAACAAAGGAGGAGTTTTCAACCAGCTGCAAACCGTGGGGAGCAAGAAGAGGATCTTTGGGACCTCATCCTCTGCTTTTTAAAGCACAGAGAATGTGGAAATGCTGGGGAAGCCCCTGGCCACAGGCACCTCCTTCTCAGGGGGAAAACCCCTCCCAAAATCCCTCATCATTCCCTCTGCTTTGTTTTTTCTCCAACTCGTGTTTTCGGTGGGGCAAACTGGAGACACCTGATGAGGAGGTGAAGGGGGGGATCTCTCCCACGCTGACCTCTGGCCACACACTCCTGGGGGAATCCCATCCCGTGGGGCTGGGGGGACACACCCCTGTCCCCAAACCCTGCCCAGCTCCCCGCTGTCACACCAAGACTCAAGGAAAGGGTTGTGCAAAGCCAAGGTGCTTTTGGTGCTCCCAGAATCCCGGAGAGGACAGGGAGGATGGTGCTGCCACATCCCCCACCCAGCCCCCACAGGGGAGATCCAGGGCAGGGGGAGCCCTGTTCTTGCTTCACCACTAATTAACAGCTGCAATTAAGCAGCCTGGCCGAGCACTCCCACTAATTGTTGCTTTGCAATGTTTTGCAGAGCTGAAAGAACAGGAGCAGCCTCCTGGGCGAGCCAAAACCCTGAAATGCTGGAGTGGGGTCAGAGCAGGATGCTGGGGCAGCACTGGGATGAACTGGGGCGGCACTGGGATAAACTGGGATGCCCTGCTGAGGGCAGCAAGCCCCCAGGAGCTGGGCCAGGGCCACGGGGAGTCCCTGGCAGCCTTAAAGCAAGTGCTGCAGCTGGCTCACTCCACACCTTTGGGGTGGGCAGCGATGCCCTGGCGCCCTCCGGGGTGGCCAAAGGGCATTTCCTGCGCCACCCGCCGTGTTTTGGGATTCAGCTCAATCCCAAATCCTCAGGAAGAGGAAGGAGAAGGCTCTGTGCAGCCACGGGTGACTCATTCAGGGGGCACCGCCTCTCCCTCCGCAAAGTAACTACCGAGACTACTAAGAATAGTTAAAAACCAAAAATAGAATTTTTTTTCTTTTTTTTTCTTTTTTTTTTTTTTTTTTGTCTTCTTCTTCTCTTTTTTCCAAAAACTCCATCCTCTGAAAATAGCCCAGCTGCAATCTGGCAGAGTCCAACCACTCCCCCTCAGGCTCGTCCAAACCCCACTGCCCCGAGGGGCTGGCACCGTCCTTGTCCCCACGGGAGTGGGGGGGAGCAGGGGGGTGACACCAGCCCGTGGTGGCTCATCCCAAACCTCATGGCACGGCGAGGGGGTTGGCAAAGCTCTCTCCGCTCCCACTTCTCTACGGGCAGCACGGGGAAGCAGCGAGCAGGTCTGGAGACGCAGCAGTGACAGCGAACGGACAGGGGGGCAGACGAGGGGCCTGGGGGTCCCCCGGAGCAGACGAGGGACACGGGCTGGGGGGCCGAGGAAAGCAGAAAAAGGGCCCCGAGGGAGCCCGGCCGGGCGAGGGACTGACCCAGCAGAGGTCTCTAAGTCATTTGGTGCGGCGCTTCCAGCATCTCCATCAAGAAGGTGTCGATGGGCGTGTCGCCTATTAGCTTGAAGAAGAAGAGGTGCTCCAGGCATTTGAGGCCGATGGATCGAAGGGCTGGGAGGCGGAGCAGGAGCTTGGCAAACCTGGGGGAAAGGAGACACGGCACGGTCAGACATCCCCAAGTGCAGCCCTGCCTCTGTCCCGGCCCCCTCCTCAAGTTTGGAGTTGGAGTTCTTGCTGCAGGGAAATCAGGAATTCTGGCCCAGCCTCGGGGAGATTCACAACAAACACGGGAATGGAGCTGAAAGATGAAACAAGAAAGGACAGGGCAGCCCTGAAGCAGGGGGGCACCCCAAGATGCTCCTGAGGTCCCTGCAGCCATCCAGAGGAGGCACCCCGGGATCAGCCTTGGCACTGGCAGCGCTGCAAGGAGCATCAGCAGCTCGAGTTTTGGTCAGGGAAATGGGCTGGAGGAGATGCCCAGTGGGGTGAGCTGGCACATGGCTGGGTGATGCCCCTTTTCCTGCAGGCTCTGGGCACTCCTGAGCAGCCCCAGCAGCTGCTCCCCTTTTCCCAGGGGCAGAACCAAGGGTGCTCCCCTTTTCCCAGCGCTCTGAGGAGGGCAAAAAAATTAAAAAAAAACCCCTTTCGTCACAGTCTGCCGTGCCTGGAGCAGATGGCTTCAGGTCACAGCAGGGCTGGGGAGAGCTGGCAGCAATGAGCCATCCTCAGCAGGGAAAAGCTGCTGGGTGTGGGGCTCAGAGGGTGACAAGAAACTCTGGAGCCAGGAGAAAGCCACCAGAGAGCCTTGGAGCACCCCAGGTGCCACTGGATGTCACCTCCTTGTGTGAGTGCTCCCAGCCCAGGGAAAAAGCCCTTTAATGGCCACAGCAGAGCTGTCAGCTTTTCCTGCTGCAAAATCAGGGCCTGAACAGCAGCAAAGGGCCAGGGAGAATGGGACCTTGCAGAAAACACTCACAGAGACATGCACAACCCCACACATATTCTGTATGCATGCACAGTTCCCTCTGCCTATTTTTTTTTAATTTTATTTTTTTTTTCTGCTGAGCTGGCGAGAACGGTGGGAGCAGAGCCAGGAAAAACAAATCAGTCCTACCATCCCATTCAGGAAGTTTCACTTTAAACCAAACCAGATGATGGCTCCAGCCCTGGGATATGTTTAACTGTGAGATAACCAGCCCAGAGCACAACGTGCCAGGGCAGGGAGGGGAGAAAAGAGCCCTGATTCCCTGAGGCTGCTGGGTGTCACGTAGGCACCCAGCCCTCCCTGGGGCTGCCCAGGGGGAGCAGGGCTGGGTTTTTCCTGGGAATGTCTCTCTGTGCAGAAAAATTCCCTTTTGGTGTTTACAGGGTGCTCCCAAGCTGCTGCTGGGCGGGGATTTGGGGCACCTGCAAAGGTGGGGATTCCAGAAATCCCACAGCATGGAGAAGGGGAAGGTCCCAGATGTGGCTCGACCACAGGGAGAACTTGTTTGCAGCCCCAGCAAGATGCCCAGAGTTTCAGAGAACTTTGGGGAGCTCTTGTGCAAGCCCAGCCCATGGGTTCACCCTCCTGAGGCACCTCCTGGGATGGTGCCACCACCGAGGGATGCAGGGCCCAGGCACAGCTCTCAGGACATCCCTGAACCCACCAAGGATGGGTGTGAACATCACACAAGAAAGTTCCCAGCCCAAGGTCACTCAAAGGCAGTGAGAGATTAAATTGCAGAGCCCCTGGTGCAGCTTCTGGGCTGCAAACACTGCCTCAAACAGCAGTGAGCACGGAGGCAGAGCCCTGGGGAGCTGCAGGCTCAGTGGCTGTGCTGCCAGGCGTGGTGGCTCAGTGGGGTTTGGGGAGTGGGGCTGTCCCTGTGCCACCCCCCGTGTGTGCCAGGGCTGCAGATCCTGCACAGTGTGTGAAGCAGGAGCTCACCCCAGCCAGGGAATAACCCAGAAGAGCTGCTGGCCATGGTTCCCCAGGCAGCTCTCCTGGTGCCACAACAGCTCTTCTGCAACACCACAACTGCCAAAGTCCAGGGTCTGGCTCTGGGTTTGCTCCAGAAATGCAATTTAATGAAGCTTGCTGGAAGAGGAGAGGTGACAGCCCTGCTCAGTGCCCTGTGCTCATCCCTCCATCCCCCAGCTCACCACAAACCAAACACACTCCATGGCACCCTCATCCCCACTCTGCCTGCCTCAAACCAACCAGCAATCCCTGCACAACACACCTTTCTCCATCTGCCAGCACTCTGGCACCCAAAACGGGGGAAAAAACAACTCCAACATCATTCTGAGGGAGGGCACACTCTGCCCACTGCTCTCACTGCTGTGAAAGCATCCTTTTCATTTAACCATCCACACGGGGCCAGGAACGCAGGTGAGATGCAAATCCCAGTTGCCTGGGCTGTTTTTCCCCAACATTCATGCACCAGTAGCAGCTTTGCTTGCTTGCTTTCCCAAGAAGCTCTCAGGAACTGAACTGGCAGTTGCCAGCTCCAGGCTGTAACTGGGAAAATGCGCCCACTCAGCTCCAGAGCTGTCCAGGAACACATTCCTAATCCCCCCTCCCATTCCCAGCTGGATTGGGGGAGGCAGGGAGGGGAGAAAAAGAGCATCAATTGAGGCTTTCACTTCCCAGCAATGATGCTCATCTGCCACTGAAAATTAACTCCATGTGAGTCCTATTTTTGCTGCGGTTTCGCTGGCCGTGGTTTCCAAAAGGGAAATGATACCCCCTTCCCTTCCCTTCCCTTCCTTTTCCTTCCCCACATGTGCTCATCCCACTGCTGGGGCTGGGGGAGCTGGGGGCTCCTCAGCTCTGCCCACCTTGCTGGATTTCCTGGCAAGGGAATAAACAGCTCTGTGCGCTGCACAGGGGAGGATTTTGAGGGATGCTGGCAGCTGGGGTGGGTAGAAATGAGGGGTTTGTCCATAAGGAATCGCTGGGAACAGAGAGCCCAGAGCAGAGAGGGGACCTTGGGGGCTGCAGAAGGGGTTTGCAGGGTGGGGGAGGCAGCAGGAGGAGGGGCACAGGGAGCTCACCTGCCGGGCTGGTCGGGGTATTTGTGTTTGCAGTAAGCCTCTAGCGATGCATACACCTTCTCCCGCAGTGCCTCCACCTCTGCTGGGTTCGACAGCCCCTTGGAGTCTGAAAGGCAGCCCAAAGAACATCAGCCAAACACAGGAAGCCCTCTGTGCACTCCCCTCCATCTCTTCCAGCCCCACCAAAGCGTGGCTGCAAGCTCAGAGCTCCAGGGATTTGGGGAGCACTCAAAAGGTTTACCCCACAACTACAGATTTTTCCTCAACCTCACACCCCAGCCCCAAATGTTTTGGCTCATTCCAGTGGTCCCAGACCCTCATTTCAAAGGGTTTTATTCCCCCTCCAGCACTGCGGTGGGGCTGAAGGAGAAGCCCCTGCTCTGGCACAGCCCCCAGGACCACATTCCCCTTCTTTGACCATATACAGCTAATCCCAAATTACAGACAATAAATTACTGCTGATTACAAGAAGGGGAGGGGGGGGGAACTAAAAAAAAAAAAAAAAAAAAAACAAAAAAACAAACTGGTCAAGAAGAAAAACAAACCCAAGAAAGTGTAATAAACCCTGCTGGAACAGCCTGGCCTGGCTGTGGTGGGAAAATCCAGGCTAGGAGCTGTGCTTGGGCACAAACTGTGCTCTGGGAGGGCAGGGTGGTGGTGGATGGGGAGTTTTGTCCTTGGCTGCCATCTGGTTCTGCCCTGCTCCACTCTGAAATGCAGAGATCCCCCCAGAGAGATGTGCAGGTATGTGCAGGCTGGCTCCTGCTGCACAGGGATCTGCTCCCTGGAATGCTGGAGAAAAACCCTGGCACTGAAACTTCTTCTTCCCTTGGGCAGCTGGGGCTGAGAGGGAAAAGGGAACAGCATCACCCTCCCAGAGTCTGTGGAACTGTGGTCAAAAATGGAAGGTTTGATGTATTTTATGAGCACATTTCATGTCTTTCAGCCTCTCCAGGTCTGCAAAGGGCTTTTCTTGAAATGCAGGTAATAAAAGCCCATGGATGGTGAGGTGGGGAAGCAGAGACAATTATCTCCATGCTCTGGTGTTGCTCTAATCCATATTTTTCTCTTCAACAACATCTAGATCCCACTTTGTTCCAATTCAGTGACAATTCCCTCAAGCACCTGAACTTTCTTTTCACAGTCACTCTGAAAGGGGGAGATCTGACAGGACAGGGGGGAATGGCTGTAAACTGAACAAGAGTAGGCTTAGATTGGATTTTGGGAAGAAATCCTTCCCTGTGAGGATGCTTCAACCCTGGCACAGGGTGCCCAGAGAAGCTGTGGCTGTCCCTGGATCCCTGGAAATGTCCAAGGCCAGGCTGGACAGGGCTTGGAGCACCCTGGGACAGTGCAAAATCCCTGCCTATGGCAGGAGCTTTGGAACAAGATGAGCTTTAAGATCCTTCCCAAACCAACTTTCACCCCTGCCTCCCTTCCTGCCCTATGGCATCTGGGTGCCCTCTGCTATTTCCAATAAAAAATAAGAAAAGCAGGGGCTTTTTGGGGGAAGAAAAGGAGCCAAAAGGGATGGAAGAGCAGGCAAGGGGGGCCAGGAGAGCAGAGCCAGGCACGGACCGGGGTTGAAGAGGACGATGGCTCGCAGGCAGCCCAGCTCTGTCTTGTCCATCAGCATGTCCCTCATTTTGGACACCAGTTCTGTCAGTACTCTGCAAAAGGACAGAGAAAGCACAGAGTCAGCATGAAAGGGAAAAAATAACAAAACAAAGGGAATGAAAAGCCCCAGGTGTCAGAGCCGGAGAGAGAAGCTCCGGTCACGTTTAACGAACTCGGGGATGGTGCTGGCCTGGACCAGCTGAGGATGTGGCCTCATTTTCCTCCTCCATCAAAAATAGCTCATTAGGAACATCAATAGTTCCTGTGAGATACAACAGGGACCATAAAAACCGCCTTCATCCATTCACCGAGAGGCTCTGGCACCTGAAAAAGCTGCCTAAAAATAAAAAATAACAATAAAAACCCACCCCAACAGGTATCTAAAAGTAATTTCCTCTGCCGGTAATTTTTATTGCTCCCTTTGCTCTTACTGAAGGTGTCGGTCTTGAAGTATTTTCCACTGATTGCCCAGTTTTTCATGTTAGATCCTGCAGCAAAGTCATGATCTTGCACTTATGACCTCACAGGAACAAATGATGTCACCCAGGTCTGAAGAACAATTTCCTCACCAAGCAGAGCAGCAAAGGTGATTTGGTTTCAACTCAAGATGAGTCTCAGGGAGAGAAATCAGCATTTCAGCAGCGTCTGCAGTCACGCTGTGGGTCAAACACCCTGCAAGTCTGGCTTTAAAACACTTTCCAAAGGCTGGGATTAAAGAGCCCTCGGGACACGCCTGTGGAACCTGCTGAGCATCACCAGGGCCTTCTCATTGTGCAAATTGTGGGAATCTGTGGTTTTGGTGATTCCAAGATTGTATAAATTCTCTGTCTTTCTGCCCCACTGCCAAAGCAGAAGCCATAATTCGACTGTGCTGTTTCAAGGTTGTTTATTCTGTTTATCTCTAACATGTTCTGCTGCCCTGCCGCAGCTCTGTCCTGCAGGGCAGCGTGTGGGGCTCTGCCCTCAGTGGGATGGTACAAACATTAAATACCACAAACTACCTGTGCTGGATTTACAATAACGTGCCAATATCTGTCACCTACGTTGGACAGTGTGTCCCCAGCCTGAACCAACAGAAAAATGCCAACACCACAGTGAAACATGGAGGGCATGAAGAAGGAGAAAAGGGACAAGGCACACCCAATTTCCTCCATCTTGTCCCCTTTGGGCCCCTAATCTAGAATCCTAAAATTTTACTTTTGCACCTGTGCCACACTTAGTCATTACTTATATCAAACACTCAGAGCTTGCAATTCATCCTGTAAGATTGAAAACTCTTTTCCATGGACAGAGATCACAGCCAGTGTCTCTGGGGGCTCTGTCCAGGGGGGTTCCTGGCCCCTGCCAGGGTCCCAGACCTGCCAGGGCAGCCAGAGGGAAGCTCTGGATTCCCACAGCAAATAAAATCACGGCTTGGTCCAATTAAAGATGAAAAGGAACAAAGGAGTTGTCTCCTCGTAACGTTAGAAGGCATCTGGAGCCCATGAAAGGGGCTTTGATTTGCACTGGGCAGCCTCCTCCCCGTTTGGGGCCGTTGGGTTTGTTGGTAGGTTTCAGAGGAAGGATTTTTTCATGGGATGGAGCCCTCCAGCAGGAAGGGAGGCAGTTTGGGGTGCAGCCAGGGATGGGGTGTCCAGGCACGGTGGGTGGATGGGAGCCCAGCCCTCCATCCCTGCCCACCTGTCGAAGATGGCCCCGACGCCGGCGCTGTGGGCGCTGTTCCGGTGCACGTGCAGCCCCGTGGCCAGCAGGATCCCGTCCTTCACGGCTATGGAGCGGTGGGAGAAGGAGGCAATTAGGAGCTCGTTCCACCCTGGGGAGGAGAAAACCAGCGAGGCTGCAGGTTAGGGCCACGGGATCCTCGGGGAGTTTGGGATTCGGTGAGGTCGCCTGTCTAACAGCAGGAGGAAAGCGCCTTTGGTGCAGGAACGCGGCTGGATGTGGGAAGGGAAGGGGGAGCCAGCTTTTTCTTGGATGTCAGGGAAGGAAAAAAACCATCAGGAACCCAATGCGCTAAAAATAAAGCTAATAAGGGGAGCAGTTTCCTCTATAAACCACGCAGACACTGAGCAAACAGCTCTGCCTGAAGCTCCCAGTGGGTGTGGAGCCCTGAGCTCCCCTCTGCCCTCAGCCTCCCAGCAGCTCCAGCCCTATCAGCACTTGCTATCAGCTCATCGGGCTCCTCCTCAGGCCACAGAAGTTCATTCACCAGCCCTGAGCCCTGTAAATGCACCACGAAATCTCTGGCTTTATTTGTGGGTTTGCTGCTCCTGCCATGAAAGCACTGGGAGGGATTGGGGCTGTTCTCTGCACAGTCCCACGTCTGTGACTGCTTCCACAGCTGCTTGGAAAACAGATTTTAGTCTTATCAGCTGGACAGGCTGCTTTGGGATGTGGGAATGACATCCTCTGAGCCCAGACCTACAGGGAAGGAAAGGGAGATGTGACCTCCACACCTTGCAGCTCCCCTTCCCAATCCAACACCTCTTCAGTTCCTAAATCCATCACAGGCTGAGCTCCAAAATTCCTGAAACAAAGCTCCAACAAGATGAAATGCTGCCAAGCTTGAAGGGTGGAAATCTGAGTGACTTCCAGCCAGGAGCAGCATCTTCACTAAGACAAGAGGGGGTCTTCTGCAACATCCCTGGCCTGAACACGTTCTGGAGTCCTGGTCCAGAAACCTCAGGATATTTGGATTTAGGGTTTTTTACCCCAGGCTGGAAAAGCAACACAACAATATCCCTCACCTCTCCTGTCAGAAGAGCACATCTCACTGCCTGGAATAAACACAAGGCCCATGTGTGCTGTATTTACCTTCTGCTGCAGCCCTGGGTTGTGCCATCAGAAATGTTGACAAGGAATAAAGTTCACTCTTTCCTAAGTGGCCACAGGATGTTTCCACCCCAGCCACGGGAACATTTCTTTGGCTATTTACTGGGTGAGGCCTGGCACTTTCACAGGGATTGCAACACTGAAACCTGAGGGGGATGGAGGAGAAGGAGCCTGCAGAAACCCTGCTCCCAGGAGGAAGAGGAACTCCCAGAGGCAGATCCATGGGAATTTGTCACACACAGCCCCACGGCGGCTCCTGGAACCAGAGCTGGCTCTCCACACCCACTCCAAACTGGGCTTATTCCAGTGCAGGAGTGCTGGACTCATCAGCATCCTTCCTCTGGATTATTCCCACGTAGAGCTGGGATGTTTCAGCTGAAAAAGGGAAAAATTTCCTACCTTGGCTTTCACCAGAACATCCCCAAAGAGCTGCCAAGACAGAGGCAGGCAGGAAAAATTCACTATAACCACAGGCAGCAAATTGGAATTAGAGACCAACCAAGTCTCCCCTGAGAGTTCTGCATTTCAGCCCAAGCTCTGGAGTGGCAGAGCAGAATTCTGTGACTCCTTTCTCACTAAACAGGGTGGCTGCAGCCTCCAGGGCTGCTCTGGCTCCTCTGGCATGGGGAAAGCACTCTGGCAGAGCAGTGCCCATCCTGTCAATCCATCTCCCTGCCAAGTTTTTCCCCACCAGCCCTACAAAGCCAGCTGCAGCTGCAGGGATGTTAACGCTCAGTATCCTTTGCCAGGCTGAGAAAAACATCAGGTTATTCCTGTCTCAGCTTGGAAACAAGAAAACCGGTGGAAAACACGCCTAAAAAGTCAGGTTTCCTTCCCTTCCAAACAGCTCAGAGAGGGAGTGTTTTTAAATGATTCAGGATTTGAGGAAAGCTGCTGCCAGCCCATCCAGCACTGCTCCTCCAGAGCTGTGTGCTCCACTTGTTTTGCCTCCCAGGATGCCTGACTGAGGCTCTTAGCTGGATTTTAGTGCTTCAATATTTCATGGGCAGCTGTTCTCAGCAGGCCACTCAATAATACATCCAGCCACTGGTTAGAAGACCTGGGGAAGGTTATCTGAGGCTCTGGCAGAGATGTCTGGAGCATGGAGCTCCAGGGAACTGCTCAGCAGTCTCAGGGTGGGAGCCACCACGAAATTTGGGATGTGATGGGGCTGGCAGCCCCTCTCCTGCTGTGTGGAGTGAGTCACAAACAGAGAACACAGGTCAGGAGTTCTCCAGCTCCACTTTTAATCAGCTGCTTGCTAAAGAGAGAGGAAAATCTGAACTGCCGTGGTGGGTTTGGGTTCCAGTTCCCAAGAGGAAAAGGCAGAGCTTTGTCTGAGTTCAGCTCTTTGCAGAAAGCCCTCAAAGATCCCAGGGAAGCAGAGAGGCTTCCCTTCTCATCCCCTCTCACAAGAGGCTCTAGAAATCCTCTTCAAATCCACACTTGGGATGTTCCACAGGGCCCAGAGCCAGCTCTGCCAAAATCCATGGAGCACCTTCACCCAAGGGCCGCAGGACCTGAACAAAAGTGAATTTGGGGGAAATAAAAGGAACTTTAAAAGTACCAAGGACTTCAAAGTCCCTGGCTTACAAAGAACTCCATGTCTCAAACACATCCTTCCCGAGCTCTGCTCCTGGTTTCTTGCCCTCCACGAGCTTTGTACAGCAGCAGGAGCTTGAATTCACTCTACAGTGAATTTCTACAGCCAACTGCTTCTACCTCCCAAATCCTGCTCCTGCAGCCCCCCTCCTGCACAAGGAAATTTAAAATAAGCCCTGAGAATTCTATTTTCATCTTGGTGGGTGGGAGAAGAAGTGAGATGTACTTTTCTCTCCTTTCTGGTTTTAATTATGATCAAACATTTCGGTTTGATGAAATTTCACAGGGGCCTGAGCCTGCTTGGTCTTTCAAGGCTCAGTTTGGGAGGAAGGCAGGGTTTGACTCCTTTGGTTTAATTCACCCAGCACCCATCTCCGAGTTCCTCATGGATCAGAGATGAAGCTGGGCAATTTTGGATCCAATTCACCAACACATCCCACGGAAGGCTTTCATTATCCTACTTAAAAACCAAATGATCAGAGCCTATCAAGAATCAATGAAAGATTTTCAAGCTGCCAGGACCTAAATCTGAGGGTCTAGCCCATTCCAGGGGACATTCAGCACTGCCCACGTGGGGACAGATGTCACTCACCTGCTCTGAGCAAGATGACCTGGTCATCCAGGGGCAGCTCGGAGAAGTGGGGGATCCTCTTGGCCCACTCCACCAGGGTGAAGAGCTGTTTGTCTGCTGCCTGGCAGATGTTTGTCACCGGGTCATTGGGCTGCCAAAAAAATAAAATAAAGATGGAAAAGCTTGGAAAAGGCAAAGTGAGGAAAAGAGGGGCTAGAGGAGCAGCCTGCCTGCCATCCCCGAGGTGGGTGCTGTCACCCACAGGCACTGGAAGTGATTTGGCTGCTCCACCACAGGGGTTGTAATTGTTTTTAGCAAACCCCAACATGGGAATTGGGAGTGCTGAGACTCCATATCAATCACACTGACTGATGAATCCAAGCAGCTCCAGCCTGGGGAAGGGCAAACTCCAGCATCTCCCAGCTTCATAAACCAGCACCAGAGGGGGCATTACAGAAAGAAAAATAAGAAAAAAAAAAAAAAAAAAAAAAGAAAGAGAAAAACCCTTTCCTTTGAAATATTATCCAGTAACAAAAACCATCTGCTCTCAAGGAGGACAGTCAGCCTAAACACAGCAAATCCCTGTTTAAAGGAACTGCTCACAGCTCAAGTGGATTTGTGATTAGGAACTGGAAGAGCCAGTTTAACCCTGGGGAAGGCTGAGCTTGCTGATCCACGTGTGTCTGTAGGGTTTACCTCTCTGGACAGGGATCTATGAGCCCTTCCCATCTCCCACGGTAATCCCTGCTGATATCCAGCAGCTTGCATTGTACAATTAGCTTCTCTCCATGCCCTTAAAAGAGCAGTTTCCAAACTGCAGAAGTGTTTTCCTCACCCCTGGCTCGCAGGGGGAAGGGCAGACACCAATGTCAGTGTAACCCGTGGCACAGCCCCTTCCCAGGCTGGGCAGGGCAGGACCACAGTGCCAAGTCACCCCTCAGAGCCCTGCCCAGCACCCTGGCAGCAAAGCCAACAGCTCTGTGCCTTGGTGGCCAACATCTCCCATCCTCCAGGCTTAAAATAGCCAGGATTTGGCAAGCTCGGGGCACCTGCCTTGGAAGTATTTCCACCTGTCGCGTGCAGAGATGGATGGGCACAGGCTGGCACAGGGATGTGCCCCCCTCGTCCCACCCTCCTCCAGCAGCTCCCCCAGGGCATTCTCACTGCCAGGGAGCTGGGGCTCTTCCCTGAGGATGGAGAGGTGAGCAGGGCCTGGGTTTTCCCTGGGAGAAGGAGATCAGATGGGATTTCCCCAGGGACAAGGGGAAAAGCCAGAAGTGCCTGGGAGAAGGAGTTTTGCAGGGCTCAGGGTTTCACTGGAAGCACTGGGAATGTTGATATTCAGAGGTAGGAAGGGGGAGAAGGGACACCAGAGGTGTCATCCCTGACTGCTCGGCCAGCTGGAGAGTCCTGGCATCCAGGTGAGGTGGGATGGGGATCATGGACTGTGCTCCAGCAGAACCCAACCCCTGCAGCAACAAGTGACTGCAGAGCACCACAGAAGGGATAATTTAGGTAAATTAGATGTTTTTGCCAAAGCTTTCATCAGGGCAGGCTCCAGGTGCCCCAGCCCTGGCTGTCCCTCCGTGGGCAGCACAAGCTGTCCCCAAGCTCTGGTGCTCCAAAGCCTCATCCTCAGCTTCAGTTCCACCTCAGATGGCAATTCCTGGAACCACCACGGCTCTTCCTGGCAGAACCTGATCACTGGAGCCTGAGAAGCAGCTAAAAGTGTCCAGAGGGCCCAGGAGGGGAATGGCAGTGCTGGAAAGCCTCCCTGGGCACGGAAAGCAAATCCCCTCCTGCAGCAAATAGCAAGGGCACGGTGCCGGGGTGTGACAGAGCCAAAGGGCACCTGATCCTCCTGGAAAACTGCAGCTTGGAGGCATCTTCCAGAAAATGGTGACTTGAAACCAGGCCTTCAAAGGCCAGTTAAAACCTAATGGGGAGGAGAGCTCTCAGTTACAGGCTTTGCCTTCTGGCCAGGAGCCCAAATTCCCAAGGCGTGGGGCAGAGGCAAAGCCACCCCCTGGGACAGGGACGTGGCACAAGGGGACAGCCACAGACACGAGAGCAGGACAAGGGGGAATGGATCTGAACTAAAAGAGAGTGGGGTTAGAGCAGATATTAGGGAAAAATTCTTCCCTGGGTGGGAGGGGAGGCCCTGGCACAGCGTGCCCAGAGAAGCTGTGGCTGCTCCATCCCTGGAGGAGTTCAAGACCAGGCCGGATGGAGCTTGGAGAAGCTGGGGCAGTGGAAGGTGATTTTAAGACGATTTTAAGGTTTTAAGATGATTTTAAGGTCCCTTCTAACCCATTCTGTGTGGGAGACAAGGGTGCTAATCCCTAAATCACCCTGCCACCCCCATCCCAGCCTGGCACAGCCAGCTGGAAATGTCCCTGCAGGTGATCAGCCTGAGGTGCAGAGGCACAAATCAAAGCACCCAACACACGAGGCCAACAGCAAACAGCTCATGTTCTCCCCGTGTTTATCAGGGCCTCGATTTGTCTGCCTTTCCATCACCTGGGCTCTGGGGAAGGGCAGCAGCTCCTCTGTCTTCCCTCTGCTCATCTCACGGTGGCCTCCGTCACCAGGAGCTGCTGATCTCATCCATCTGCTAAACCTGCTACAAATGTCACCTCGTGCTTGACAATAATAGGGCATTTCAACAAGCCTCCTGCTTCTATTTAGATGCAGCACACATCCTTGTTCGCAGTAATGTGTGCTGAATTATGCAGGAACCGGCTTTCAATTTGAGGAGCCGCGGTGCCAGACGAAGCCATTTATTTCAGCTCCCTCTCTGGGGTGTGTGTTCCAGTCAGCACAAGGCTGGCTCCAGCTCCCCCTGAAGGATTTTTGATCCTGAGAGCAGTCAGAGCCTCTCTGAGCTCCTCACTAATAACTCCTCCAAAAAAAAAGCTCTTTACAGCCTCGTGGGGATGGGATCCTCCTTGTAAATGCAGGTGAGGGTTTGTACCTGATTCTCTGCCTGATCCTGGAGAGTTTCACTGAGGGATTGGCTCTGTCCATACCATGAAGCCTTGAATATCCAAGAGTCACCTAAGGAACGCTAGAAAAAGCTGTCTTGCAAAAAGAGCATCCCCAAAAAGCCAATTAGACATATCCTGACTCCCAGATCCCTCACGGAATTCTGCTGGAAGTGACCCTAAAGATGCTCTATTTCCAACTGCCTGCCACGGGAAGGGATTTCTCACTCAAACCCTCCAAGCCTCATATAAAGAGAGAGATAAAAGTATTGTTGGAACAGAGAATAAACACTGCAGAGTCCTTGCACTTGCTCAGAATAGCTGCATTTCATCAGCTCAGCCACCCAGCAGGAATTGCACGGGGATATTTCAGTGCACAAACCTTCACTCTTGGCTCAGCCAGCCCAAGTGTTGGCAGAGTTCAACCTCTGAGTCCCTCAAAGGACTTTGTGGCCACCAGGAGATGCTCCCCACTGCAGCCTCAGCTGCTGTTTCCCAGAGGAATTTCTCTATTCCCACTGCTTTCATGGGAAAAGGGGCTATGGAGGAGTGGGGACTGCACCCTAAATATTGCCTGGGCTGCAGAGGGTCTGTCCTGGAAATGGAATTTCAGAGGAGGGTTTGGCTCTTGCATTAGGAGGCTGCTGCTTTGCAGGGAGATTTCTCCCTTTTGATAAGGGAATATCATAGGAAAGGGCCCCTTTCCCTTCCCCTCACTCTCCACAGAATCCCAGACTGGTTTGGGTTGGAAGGGACCTCAAGATCATCTCATTGCAGCCCCCTGCCATGGGCAGGGACACCTTCCACCAGCCCAGGCTGCTCCTGTCCCATCTCCCTGTCACCCCTCTTGTGCACACAACATCCTGGTCCAGCCCAGATACCCCAAGCAGGCCTGGTTATAATGCCAGTTTCTAACTGGGAAAAGAACTTGAAAGCCAACTCGTAGGCAAATTTCTACAGCTTTTCTCTCCTCAGAGCCAAGCAGTGCATAATTCTGCACCTGAGAAGTCACACCTTCATTCTCCAGCTCTTATCTCCCTGCACTTCAGCCACACAGGCCTGTTTATTGCCTGGACTGGACTCTGAGCTCCTCAGAGCAGAGTGTCTTCCTGCCTTTTAGCACTGAGGGCTGTAATTTCCAATCAAACCTTCTCTGCGAGCCCTTTTAATTACTCCTTACCACCTCTCACTTCCTTGTGGCTGTGGGACAGCAGACACCAAACGCTGCTGGCTCTGCTCTCCTGCTGCTGAGCTGACTCACAGAGCCTACAGCAGAGCCAAAAATTGCTTTTTTTTTTTTTTTTTTGTTTTCCCCACACAGGCCAAGCCCTGTCTGTCCTCATGGCCACTCCTGATGTCCCAAAGGCTCAGTGCCTCACCGAGCTGGGGGTCAGGCCCATGTTTGCCTCGATGTAGGTCTCTGTCTTTGGCTCCACGGCGAGCTCAGCCTCCAGGATCTTCTCCACGGGCATGTCCTCGTTGGCGCTGCTGGTGGACTCCACCTCGTTCTCGTTGCGGTCCTTCCCCCGCTGCCTCTCCTCCTGCACGGCTGCAAGGGACACAGAGGGACAGTGGCAGACTGTGACTGTCACAAGCCAGGAACAGGCAAGTGACACAGACTCTATGTCAGAAGGCTAAAGAGTTTATTGGAACCCCTTCTTTGTACACTCAGCTGGGCCTGAATGGTCATTTAATCAACACATTTCCCATGACTGGCTAATTAAGAATATACCTCTCAGTAAACATGAGGAAAACTTATTACAAACCTCACCTGCAGATTGTTTGCCATTTGTTTACCATTCTTTCTCTCTGCCTCCCTAAAACTTCTCAGAGCAATTCATGGGAAAGCTTATCTGGATTTCTCACTCTCTGACCAGACTGCCATCTCCACAGTGTGATGGCTGACTCTCACAATTAAAAGGCAAATATGTGCACATTTTAAGATAACTTTTATAGGTTAACAGTTATGTTTTACCCCCCTTCTGTTGTTATCAGGGTTTGGGACATTTGGGAGAGTTGGCAACAGCTGACCTCCAACCAAGATTGAATGAAGTGATCTCCAGCACTGGACAGTGAAGAAGGAGCCAATGGACAGAATTTTGGAGGAGCTAAAGGGTCAAAAGGCCAAACCTCCATTGTGTGGATGAGCACATGGTGGGGAAAATCCTCTGCTCCCAGCACCATAGTATTTTATCTATTCAGTCTTCTGATGCATTTTTGATAAGGTTTTAATAAACATTTTAAAGTTTTTGGGAGTAGCATTTCTCATAGTGTCACCCCCCAGTCCCACAGGTGGCTACAAAACCCCAAAGCATCTCCTGCAGGATCACCCCGCTCTGCTGCCTGCTCCCACTGTGGCCAGACTGGGATACCCCAGGGAATGTGAGGTTTGGGGAAGGCAGGGAGCAGCCCCAGCCTGGGAAATCAGCTCTGATCCTGCTGGGAAAGCCCCTTCTCTGCAGAGGGACAGGTCCTGGAAATAAAAATAAATGATGGAAAGCAGCACAAAGGATGGACACTTCGAGTCACTGCAGGAGAGGGAACGGGGTGAAGGGATAGAATCAGGGAATCCTAAAGAAAACAGGTCAGTTGAAAGCAGAAATCCCAAGTTCAGCCACCTCTGAGGCTGGCACTGCTGGATTTCCCTGGAGGCCACACTGTGCCCCTCTCCAGCTCCCGTGGGACAGGAGCTCCATGCAAACCTCCAAACCTCAGGGCAAGCCCCAGACAGACAGGAGAGACCTGTCCCAAATCCTGTGGGGTGGGAATGATCTTGCCAGCAGCCTGTCACATGCTGATGAATTCTCTCTTAGCAGCTCAGAGATGAGAAACACTTGCTAGATGCTAATAACATTATTATTGTTATTATTAATGACCTCCCTTGGAAACCTGCACACGATTTTCCTACACCTGGAAGGCAGCTTTGTGCAATTACAGTGGGAACTCTCTCCATCACCTTGTCACAGACCCTAAATCTCACACTTTTCTGTTTCCCACTGCACATTTTAGCCCACTCTGCATGAGAACAGCCCAAGCATCTCTGGCCATGAGGCACAACTCTCTGAATGCACCCAGCTCTTTGCTGAGGCACTCCAATAACGTCAGAACCTTGATATTTATTACAATTACCCCAGCACTCCCCCCCTGCTGCATCTGAAGCAGGTTATGGGATGTTCAGGCAGAGCAGCAGGGGCACAGGTGTTGTTTGGGGGAAACCAGAGCTGTCTGTGACACAACGAGGCTTTTCAGACCATCAGTGGGATCAGTTCCATGCCATGTGCAAAACCAAAACCTACAATATGAAACTCCAGGAAAATAAAATAAAATATAATAAAATAAAATAAAAATAAACCCCAGGAAATTGAGACACAGGCTAAAGGAGCCCTCTCTGCCTGCTGATCCCATTAACCCAGCTCCCAGGCTCCCCCTCCCTTCCCTCAGTGTTGCTGTTTGCTGCATGTCAGCAGAGCTCAGGCTCTTCCATGTGAGAGCTGTTATACAAAAAGGCAAGAGGTTCCTTTCTGCAAACTTCTCTGGGCTGCAGAGGCTCCCCAGGCCCACCAACGTTGTCTGCTGGGCTGTCAGAGCCAGGTAAACTCAGATTTGGGTCGTGGCTTTTGTCCATCTGGCGTGGATTCTTCTTCTTTTTCAAGCCATCAGAAAATCCTGCTTCAATTTCACCCCTCCAACCCCTCTCCTGCTTCTCCAAGCATCAGAAAGAGGGGAGTTTTTGCTTAATGCCAAGCCTTCCTCAGCAGCACAGATGCACCAAGATTCCTCTGGGCACATTAGAGGAGATGAAACACCTACTAAATAACACGAAAGCCTGAGAGAAAGGCAAAGCCTCAACAAATGGGATCTTATAAAAAGACTTAAATGCCAAAAATGCTGATGGAGATTGGGAGCAGCTCTCAAGGTTGAAGGTGCAAAGTTGGGATCACTGGGGTCACTCCACCATGGTGTTAACCCCCAAAACACCTCCTCGTGCTGGACACTGGGATTTGTGGCAAAGCATTGCAGAGGGCTGGGCAGACAGGGGCTACTTAAAGCCTTCCATCTGCAAATCTCAACTCATCAGTGCCACATCCCTGGCCTGAAGAGTCAGACACACTTCAGGGGCTGTAGAGAGGATCTTACAGGGCACCTGGACAGCACCTGCCTGTGATCAGCCTGAACCCAGCTGACACCAACAGTACAACAGACAGATGGGCAGGGATCAGACACGTAAGGAGTTTGTTCTATTGATCCCAGCTCGGAGCTGCTGCACCAGAAAATCGGTGCTGCAGCTCCCTGCAGAGCTGGGCAGGGGACAGCTGACTCATCCCAGCTCAGCCCCACGCACAGCCCGCCCTGCAGCGTGCCACCCTGGCACAGCAGATGGCACAGGCCCACCCAGCAGCCAAAGATAAAGGCAGCCCTCACCAGGGAGTGTTATCTGCTCTGCTACACCTGCTGCCAAGCCAGGCTGCCTCCTCCAACAGCAGGACAGGTGTGGAATCATTTCACCCTCACCCTCGTCCACCCATCCATCCATCCATCCATCCATCCATCCATCCATCCATCCATCATCCATCCATCCATCATCCATCCATCATCCATCCATCCATCATCCATCCATCCATCCATCCATCCATCCATCCATCATCCATCCATCCATCCATCATCCATCCATCCATCCATCCATCCATCCATCCATCCATCATCCATCCATCATCCATCCATCATCCATCCATCCATCCATCCATCCATCCATCCATCCATCCATCATCCATCCATCCATCCATCCATCCATCCATCCATCCATCCATCATCCATCCATCATCCATCCATCATCCATCCATCCATCATCCATCCATCCATCCATCCATCCATCCATCCATCCATCATCCATCCATCCATCCATCCATCCATCCATCCATCCATCCACCATCCATCCATCCATCCATCCATCCATCCATCATCCATCCATCCATCCATCCATCCATCCATCCATCCATCCATCATCCATCCATCATCCATCATCCATCCACCCATCCATCCATCCATCATCCATCCATCATCCATCATCCATCCATCCATCATCCATCCATCATCCATCCATCCATCCATCCATCCATCATCCATCCATCCATCCATCCATCCATCCATCCATCCATCATCCATCCATCCATCCATCCATCCATCCATCCACCATCCATCCATCCATCCATCCATCCATCCATCATCCATCCATCCATCCATCCATCCATCCATCCATCCATCCATCCATCATCCATCCATCATCCATCATCCATCCACCCATCCATCCATCCATCATCCATCCATCATCCATCATCCATCCCTCTGTTCATCCATCCATCCATCCATCCATCCATCCATCCATCCATCCATCCATCATCCATCCATCCATCCATCCATCCATCCATCCATCCATCCATCATCCATCCATCCATCCATCCATCCATCCATCCATCCATCCATCCATCATCCATCCATCCATCCATCCATCCATCCATCCATCCATCCATCATCTATCCATCCATCATCCATCCATCCATCCATCATCCATCCATCCATCCATCCATCCATCCATCCATCCATCCATCCATCATCCATCCATCCATCCATCCATCCATCATCCATCCATCCATCCATCATCTATCCATCACAGTCACATGTTTTTGGGAGCGTCCTCCACGTCCCCAATCTCTACAGGCACAAGCCCAGTGGAAGATGTCTGGATTTCCTGCTACCCTGAGCTGCTGAGGCCCTGACAAGCTGTTGCTCCTTCTTAGGAGAGGTGCTGAGGGACACATCACCATCCCAGGAAATAAATAGGGACTGTGTTCCTTGAGATGTAGGGGAAAAACAACACACAGAAGAGAGGGAAAGAAAGAAGGAGAAGTGGGTTTTTTTACCCATGAAATCTGGGAAAATCTCCAGCAGTGAGCAGACCCCTCACCATGCAGACCATTCCTGGAGTCCACTCCCCTCTCCACTGGGGATTAGTCAAACAAACACAGTGGAGATTACAAAAATACATTTTTTTCATATGATCTGGTTTGGAAACTGTGTTTCTTTGTGGGTTTAGTTTTTACTTATGTTTTTAAGAAGAGAACACCAAGGTGGCAGCTGCATGGCAGCTTGTCTGGTGACACCAAAACAAGAACAACCTTGCTCTTCTCAACTTCCCAACAACACTGATTTTCCTGGTCCTGAGGGTGGCAGAGCTTTGGATGGACAGCATGGGTCTATCCACCTCAAATGCAGGAGCTGAGGCAGGAATTTGGCTTGCTGCATCCCAGAAAACCTTCTCATGCAAGGCACAGCTCTCCCAAGCTGTGGCCACCCCGTGTCTCCAGAGCTGAGCTTCCCCTCTCCCCTTTGCTGATGGCTGTGCCAATGCTTTGATTTCTTTTTAGAGCTTTTCCAGGCTGGTTTCCTAAACAGAAGGGAAGCATTTGAATCTTGCAATGCACTTGAGGAGAAAAAAAGATGCAGTCAGAGAGCTTGGAGAGGCAGCCCCACCTCCTCCAGCTATGTGTGAGC